AGCTGATAAATATTCCAGTGTTGTAGTCCTGAGAACTGGGCTGTAAAATCTAAAACTTGCTTTTAAAAAACACTTTTGCTTTTACTAGAAGTATTCATCTTTACTAGGAGGGAGCTGTGAAAGAATTAGTATAGTCTGGATGCTGTAGAACCATTTAAAGACGTCTTTATTAGTATTTGTATTTCAGAGGACAAGCTTGGCTGCTCTGATAGTTAAAGCATTAAAAATGTTGTGGATGGACCTTTTTRTTACTTCTTATTGCACATGCTGTGCTACTGCTCATTAGGCAGGAATACAGCATATTAGTCCTGCAGTGCGGAGGGTTCCCGAGTAGTTAGAAAGTCTCATGTCCCCATTTGCAAAAATATGCTGTGGTTCACCAAAGAGGAGAAAGAGGAATGAAAGAAGAATGGGGTCTGCAGTGCTCAGCGGAGAGGTGTGATGGTTTTTTGACTGTGCTGCAGCCAGTGCGTTGGCGTCGAGCACCCTGGGGGGCTTTGGTGCTAATGGTATTTGGTAACTGAACCTGCGTGAGCTTTAGTTCCCTCTTTTCCAGCCTCATTCAAATACTTGGTCGCTCAAACTACCAAATCACTTATTTATCCTCACAAAAACATGTAAAATAAATATCGCCTGTGCTGGATGGGTCTTTTTCAATGGCCTCTCTAAGCAAGTTTCTGGGGCTCTAGCACCTGTAGTTTATATTAACGTCACTGCAGCTGCTAAACTCCTCTAAGAATAATATTGTTTAGTGTCTGAAGGAGTTTGCAGTACGGCCTCCGTGGCCTTAGCCTCTATTTTTCTGCTACACAGAGAGTTAGAAAACAGTGCTTTGTTGAATTGTCRTCTATTCCTACAGTTTCTCATTTTAGAAACACTTACTTGTATTATAATATGTCTTTAATTCAAAATCAGAAAGTGTCTCTGTGGTCAAGCTTCTTAAAACTTCTCCTCAATTCAAAGCCTGTAGTGGGAACCAAGCTACAATTTGAACTGTTGCCATCTTGGCCAGTATCCTTCCCAAAGGTGACCATTTTCCATTGATGGGCTGAAGGAGGTGGGCCTTCGCACGAGATCCCTTTGTGTGTGAGTTCACGAGGGTATCGGGATGGCCTGTAGAGGCTGTGGAACCACCTTGCCAGGAATCCTTTGAAAGCTCGGGATATTTGGCATCAGCAGATGGCAAATGGCCTTACTCGTGGCCAAATACTCATGGCAGCATTCAGGGCCTCCTCGGCTCTGGCATCATCATTTCCTTCCAGGAGGTGTTTCAGTCCCTTCGATGCATATCCCAGGTGAACTGGGCCCAAAGGGAGGACAGTGAATGAATAAAAAAGTATCCCAAGGGACTTTTATACTGCTATATAGCTATTCTGCAGTGATGTGCTCCAGAAGAGGAGGAAAAAAAAAGGAGGGGATGGAAAACACAACCATAGTTCTTCAGTTTGCCTTAGTCAGTGGTGATCATGATCCACGTCCAGTGCAAGACTTCAACACACCTGTGGAAAAAGCATCCCCTTCTCTCTAGTGCGCTTCTTTTTGCCCAAGTTAGACTTAATCCTAATCCTCTTTTCACTGGATTTTCCATGCTGTTATTTCAGGTTACTCTTGGTAATGTCTGGGCAGTTTTAAAGCCTTGTCACCTGTTGTGAGTCRCTGTACAGCTCAGCACAGACTTGAAAACCTGCCCAAGGGAAGAGATAAAGAGGCAGTTTCCATCCACTGAGTTGATGTTGCCACAGTGACATTGCTAGCACTGTATGAAATACCCAAGCTAACCTATATGTGGTGTGTTTATACGAGCTGTAGTGACCTGGTGTCACTGCTAGCACTGTATGAAATACCCAAGCTAACCTATATGTGGTATGTTTATACGAGCTGTAGTGACCTGGTGTCAGGTCAACCAGATTGGTTTGTGTTACAAGTTAAATGCTTTTCCTGCCCCTGGGAGTACTTCTAGACCCCTGGTATTAGCTGGAGAGACCTGCTTTGATGAAGACGCTCCAGCACTCCTGACAGATCTGCTGTGGTGCCACCAGCACCTTTCCCACAGCAGTTCCTTCTCTGTCTGTCAGTCTTACCATTGTGCTCTGGACACACAAATAACCTGTCTCTTACTTGGTAATACTTGCTCTTTCCTGTCCTTTAGAGCTTACCTTCCAAAYTCTGCTGAGCAGAGCAGTGCATCATTCCGGACAGTGTCCTCTCTTCGAGCAGAGTCAGTAGTGACACCTACACTTCTCCTGTATTAGTCATTGTTTGTTTAGCTTGGAAAGTTCAAAAGAGCTTATAGACTTTACCTATCACGTCGCAGGGTGCTTTTCTTCTTTGTGTTCAAATGATCATTCTGTTGCAGTTAGGCTGAAAAGCAGAAGACAACTCCTTTCACCTCCCTACTTGACCAGAACTCCCCATCTCCCACACAGTACAGTACTGAGGTATTGGGGCTGAAGGATGTGAATTTTCCAAGGTATTGTGGTGAAGGTTATGCAGCCATAAATTAGTAAAGGRTCGCCAGCCATATCTCATTGTCCTGGACCTGGGGTTTTCACTTGGAAAGTAGAGGTGGGCAGCGAAGGATTGGGTTGCAGAAGGTAGGCTCTACATGCTGTTYGAGGCACTCAGATTTCCATGCCAGAGTAATGGCTGCAGAGATAATGTTACAGAGAGATTCTTGGCTCTGGTCCTGAATCATCAGCAAGGATTGTGGATTTACTATTAAAAGAGTAAGTGTTTCTTTAGAATCAAAATAGATTACTCGACAGAAACTGAAAAGGACCAGAACTCCAATCCAGTCTGTCTTTCCCAGGATACCGATAGCTAGAAAAAGCAGAGAACATGTATCATGTTCTGTCACTTCATTTTCTCTTTCTTTTTTCCTTTTTTTCTTTTTTCCACATGTTTCAGGCAGAGATCCAAAGCTGGATGCTTTTYCATAAAGCAAAAGCAACAAAAATAAAGTTGCAATAATAATGCAGCCATTTTTTCCCACACCTACAATCTGGACAGTGCAGTTGTGAATCTGACTTTCAGCTCTTTTTCTCCTTTATTTTCAGTTCTGCTTAATTGTCAGAATGTCAGATTTTTTTTTTTAATAAATGCATTTAGAGTAACTTTCAATTTATCTGAAAGTCTGCAGAACACTTACCTTGTAATGCCTAGAAAAATAAGGAAAAGGCTAAGGTACTAGTTTTGCTAGACAAAAGTCAGGCAAGATCCAGGTACTCTGTTAATTGAGTCTGTCAGACTTCTGACTTAGAATAAATTTACTTAGAATAAATTTACTCTGTTAGGATATGCAAGAAACACTTGTGTAAATCCAGAGGTGAATTCTACCTACAGCAAGTCCTTCATATAAGTCCATTCTGCTCCCAGARAGTGTGAAATTTTGTCTGTTGAAAGACACTCCTCCTGTTTTTGAACAAAGAGCACATTTCACACTTTTTGATACAGGATATGTGGCTTCAGTGGAGATCATTGTGATAGCAAACTTCTGTACGTGAGCAGCTTCAGAACAACTCTACTAGTCATGGGAGGAACTGAGGAGAAAAACAGAGGTTGTGTCTTAGTTCTGTTATTTTATGCACATCTTCCWACTCCCTGTGCTGGGATAGCAGTCTCCAGCCTTAACTGGCATAAACATTTCTAGGAGCTCAGTCACAGGCTAGAATTAGAAGGAAGACAAGTCATACATCATCCCCTCTTCTCACCTAAATGCATAAGGCAGAAGAAAAAGCCTTTCTTCCATCCCCATATATCATTCACCTAAAAATTAGTCATGGACTTCCTCATCAGCAAATCAGTTTTCACCTGCTGTCCTATCAAAACATCACACCTTTCAAGTGAAAGCAATGTGTATTTATCATGTGTAGAAGCAACGAGAGCCCTTAAGATACTTCATCAGTCCAGCTGTCTCTCAAAGAGAAACTGCTTGAGAACCCTTTGGCTTCTATCTGGGCTGTGAAGCTACCACATACCTCTTCCACGTACCTCTTCTCTGCTCTCCTCTCTGCTGCTGAACTGAATTAAAACATTTCAGCCTCGAGATGCTTCTCAGAGGCTACTGTCTTMTCTGCTCTGTCAGGAGTTCTATCTGTAGGTGCAGCTGCTTCCCAGTCCATTTCTACTAAAATAAATAGTGTGTGTATGTAAATATATATATATATATGTATATGCATTTTTGTTGGCTTTGTCCGCAGTTAAAACTTAGTAACTAGGAATGACAAGATACAGAAAGAGGATGAGGAAGCTAAGTCAGCTAAATCTCTTACACCATTTCTACAAAGCTACAGATGGTTTGTAATGAGGGCAGACCGACCTTTGTTTTAGTTTCTCAGGGCATTAGTCTGACAAACTCATCATTATCTCAGTTATGTGCAAGAAAAGTTAGAGTAGCTCGAGCATCCTTGAGGGCATCTGGTTTTTGGCTCCTCATTAACTCTTGTGCCTTCTACCATAAACTATTTAAATACATAGCACAGAAAGGGTCTGTGTCATTGTCTGCTTAAGGGATACACTGCATTGTTCAAGTATGTTCAATGAATTCACCACAGACTTCCTTCCTTCTGAAAGAGCTAGATGAATAGGCAGTGTAACCTAATAAAATTTAAAATGGAGGTCTTCTGATTAGTCTGGTACATGCCTCTCTGCTCCTCAAAATCTGGAAATGTTTAAACCAATATAAAGCAGCAAAACGTTCAGACAAAGTAGCAATGGAAGATACTAAAAGCTGAGAATATGAGCACAGAATAGGAAGTTCTGTTATATGTTGTTCTTATCATTTAAGCAGTAACCTGATAATCATCACAGTGGGCTTTGTGGGAACCAGGAATGAGAGGTTGTCTTCCTGCACAACTGGCAGTGTGTCTAAATGTGAAAATCATATTTATTTCTGTTTAGAGAAGTTGCACACTTCTATAGCATTTGTTGTATGCTCAATCATTTGTAGATGCCTCCTTTGAGTTTTGCAATACCATCATATGTTTATATGTGTTTTTCAGACAAGAAGCCCTCCTTGCTGCCATTAGTGAAAAAGATGCCAATATTGCTCTGCTAGAACTTTCATCCTCTAAAAAGAAGACCCAAGATGAAGTGGCTGCACTGAAACGAGAGAAAGAYCGCCTAGTGCAACAGCTCAAGCAGCAGGTGGGTAGAGGAGGGGAGGAGAGAAAACTGTTGTTAATCTGCTGTTGTCACATTAGGATTTTGATTTATGGAGCTGTATAAATTAATAATAATGTTGAGACAAAACACACAAATACTCGTTTCAGACTAGTTGCTGATCTCGAAGCCTGTGAAACACAAGTTTCTTCATGTCACTGCATGAGTAGTTAATATGTGATAGAGTATGTAGGAAACAGCACATGAAAAAAGATTTAATTATTGTCTTCTAGAGACATAAGTAATCACAGATTCATAGAAATATAGTAATACATCCTTCAGTGCTTTGTATTTGTACTGTCAGGGTAGAATTACACATGGAAGAGCATTCTCTTTGCTGTAAAGATCAAATTCTAATAATCTTTACCCATCAATCTCTATTGTGGTTTCTGATTTGTGACAGGAGGCCATAACATTTGGGCCTAGTTGAGTGACATTTGGGAGGTCTCATACTGGTGAGGTGATTCGTCCTCCCTTACTCCTATTTCTCTCCCAACTAAAACAGGCTCAGGAAATTGTCTAATACGTTTCTGTGATCTTCTTAGGTGGGGTAATAATAAGAAAAAGTATGTTTCTATTCAAACATTTAATATTGTATTTCAGTATTAGATGTAAAGTAAAAAAGACATTGCTAATAAAATATGGTGGAAGCAAAAAGCATCCTGGGCAGTAAAAGATTTATGATCTGAAAAACCTGTGTAGATCTTTCACTTCAGCACTTCTGGTGGATCCTATGAGTTATTCCCATGCCATATTCCCCATAATACCACATATGCCACTGCTAATCCTGTGTCAGCTTCTTCAGTACCCTGATCCCATCTTCATAAAGTTTTATGTACCACATTTTCAGTTGGATTATTTCTGCTTTCTGATAAGGGATTTCTCCTTATTCCTTAGTAAAGAGCAGTATGTTACAGGCTATGCAATTTTTAGCTAACACTTTTTTAAGGTTTAGTTTCAGTGTTGAGAGCTACCCCAGCATAAAAATAATTTAAARTGTAGTTTTCTGTCTCATATTATTTAGCGTTCAGTAACAGTTTTAGTTACTTGCCCTTGTTAGCAAGATTGCCTCCTGCTAGAACAGGATTCAGTATTCGTAGCGACGTAAAGTGCTAATAGGCCTTTACGCCCCGTGCACTTCCCAGATTATTTCTGATATTTATCAGAATAGGTGATTTTGATATTGTTTTTAGTGTTGTTAAAAAATATATATTTTATTTATTGTCTCTGAAAGATATGGTAATTTCCTGTAATGGTGCCCATCCTTAATGATGAGTTTGTGTTTATGTGTTGTGTACTTTAGTTTCTCAAATGACTTAAAATACAAAGATAATTGGCTTGAAATGGTTCTTACTATGAAGAGAGACCCATTTCAAATGGGAGTTCACATGCCATTTCTTGACAGCAGTCTTTTTTCAGAAAGTTCACTGGAGTGTCCAGGTACTTCAGAAGCTTCTTTTTCCAGAACCACCATCAGCTGCCAAAACTCTCCATTCTCCCCTTCTCTTAAAAAGAACTTTCTTAAAGAAAACAAATAATAATGTCCTTATTTTATGTGTAAGTATAAAATCGTAGATATAAAATCATARTTAAAGGGGCTGCAAGGTACCATCCAGTGCAGGATAAGTGTTTCTATATAAATAATATAAACTGTATTCAAATGATTCATGGGAGACTTGTTTGACCTGACAGAGATTCCATGCACCCTCCCTAAAACCTGTGCKAGATCTTAAGAACATAAAGATGATCTTTCATCCTTTTTGGTGTATACCTTTCAATGTTGTTGAAAGAAAAGCCAATCAAACTTACTTATTATGGGATTGTAGTACTACTGGCAAAAAGTCAAGTTGAAGGGTATCTACCATCATGTTTACTTTTTCTGTACTGATATATCTGATATGTGTTTTCTGCACATTGATGCCACCAATTCAAATCAACTTTGACAACTTCAGAAATAGGAGATGGGAGGGAAGAGAACCCTGTGAGACCTTCCAGTTTCTTCATTACTGGGAATCTTACTAATTAAAGAGAATCTTACTCTTCCACATGCTTTTCCAGCAAAAGCATTGTATTTCTTAGACAGTTTCATCAGCTTGAGCTTTCTCTCTGCTTATACCCTCCTCTACATCTGCAGAAAACAGCTCCATCTGTGWTAGCAGCTGACAGGATTTCAGGGACTCCCTAAAAGTTTAGTCATCATTCCTAAATTCCAGGTAGAAATTGTGAATGAAAAATCTTTAAAAATATGGAGGTATTAAAAACAACTGTTCTAGAAAGATAGCTGATGCCTTTTAATCAAGATCTTCTGGAAGACTTTGAAAAATCATTCTGGAACTTCAAATGTTTATTCAACTTCATGCTCAGAAGTGGGATCCTGACCTCAGCAGTTTCTTCCATGTGTTTTTAACATTTTTCAGAGCTGCTGAGCTCCCTGATAAGCATTCCATATTTCAATCCATCCCACTTCTAGGAAACGTTTACAGTCTGTAACTCTTCAGCTCTTTCATTTGCCTGACAGACCCTGTTGACTGAAGGCTTCCTGTTTTGTTGTGTGTAGGATGCAGAGATGCTGAGCAATATTGGAAAGGGGTGATTTTTATGAGCACTTATGTATGGTGTAGTGAGTACCACGGGACTGATTTCTGAATCATTGCAGACTGGAAAGAGCTTCTGACAGAGATATCTCTTCAGAAGTTAGTTTTCCATCCACACTGCAATAGAGAATGTGAACAGATCTGGTTATCTGTTTAGGGTTCAGGTGGGGCCTTTCTGTTGTTCATGCTGTACGTGAGTCAGTTGCTGTAAGAGCTACCACTGTTTGTAGGCTGACCTACTGCTACTTGACTTGAGACTTATTGCTGATTGGCCTGTCTTATATTGAAGATACAACTCTTTCCTAACTCAGTCTCATGGTGAGCCTCAATTAACCTCCTAAAAATTTCTTTAGCACTGCAGTTTAGCATGATTTTCATGTATTTAAAAAATACCAATGAAGACAAAAGGAAATGATGAATCTGGAGCATTTTATAGTGTGTCTTTACTTCATCTCTCCTTTGTCCCTTCCCCAGCACTATGTCATGTTCTCAGTAATTCACATTGGAAAATGTATTACTGTGAAAGAGGAGGAAGGAGTCCTGCCAAAGACATTTTGGTTCTTTAATTTCTTTAAGTATGTATATTAAAGTTGGGATGAAGAGAGGCATTTCAGAAAGAGGATATGSCATCAATGTTGTTTTAATTTAGAGTTTCTAGGCTCTGAACTACAGGAATGTGCCTCAATATAGAGACCATTTCCTAATGAGGCAGTCAGCATTGACCAGGCTTTCCAGTAAATGGAGCTGCCTGTTTCATATTGGTTGTCAGTCTCTATGAGGGATTTCCTCTATCATCAGAAAAGGAGACCAATTGCAGGGCGAGGGTCACCAGCTAATGTGGTCCCAATTTACTTCCTCCCAAAGTACTTTGTCTCCTTGACTAGTTCATGGTGAAACAGTGGTTGGGAGGCTGCTTCGCAAGAGGGGGCCAGGGCTGATGCAAGAAAACAGAGCTGGAGGGTGTCTAACAAAGTCCAGATGTACCGCGGTGAGCGCCAGCCACTGCGTTCAGATTGTAAGCCATACAGAAGCCCCTGCAACGTGTGTCATGCCGGAATTGGGAGAGACCCAAGGAATGCTGGGCCTGCCTTATGGCGGTCCAGCCACCTCTCATCTGTTATAACACGCTGTTTATTCATTTTCTTTGCAAGCAAAGTTTTAACGAAGAGCCTACATGTATTGCAGCAGTGTGAAGTTTACTCTGCAGCTTCGACTTGTAAATGGAAGGCATATACGACTGAGCTGAGGTTTTCCGGTCTGTGGGCTTTGAAATTTAAACATTTGGGGTTTTCTTCAAGAAGCTATTTAGAGCAAGGGTTGTCATTTTCTCTGTTTGGACAATGTCTCGCGCAGTGGGGGCCTGACTTGACCAACTTCTCCAGGCACTACTATGCTATAAATGTTTAGTCATGGTARCTTCTTTACTGTGAGGGTGACAGAGCCCTGGAACAGGCTGCCTTCTCTGGAGATCTTCCAATCCCAGCTGAATGCGACTCTATACCCCATGCTGTAGGGGTGTTGGAGCAGGGGGGTTGGACTGGATGATCTCTGTGGGTCCCTTCCAACCTCAACCGTTCTGTGATTCCGTRTGATGAAGTTGTTAGGAGGCTTTGAAMTGGGTTAGTGTCTGTGTTTGAGAGCTAGGAGTGTTATGCACTTGAAATGTTGGTAAATCACTCTATGCTCTTGCATTATTACATAGAATTTCATAACCATTCCCAGTTCCTTTTTAATATACTCTAGCCTAAGTTATCAGGAACTGGTTGGTTCAGTGATAAGATCTCAGAATTTTCTCTTTTAAGTAGTGCAACAGCAGGTTAGGTTAATACTGGGAGCATTTATACTGAACAGCTTTTTTTTTTTTTTTTTAATAGAAGTAAAAAATTATTTTTAGATCAGTTCTGCAGTCTTCCCAGAACATGTTGAGTTTTCATCCTTTTCTTCAGCCAGCCTGAAGAATCATCCAATCAAGTTTGCTCTATGTATTTCATAAACATCTGTTTTAGGTCTGTCACACAAGTTGTTAATATAAAATATTGAATATTACTGAACACAGGACAGAGCTCTGTGTAACCCACTTGATTCATTCATCTAGTTTAGCAGTTAACAGTTGATAGCTACTATGGAGTCTAATTTCCCAAACAGTTCTGTACTCATGTTTTTGTAGCTGAACCACAGAAAAGGCATCTCACTTCAAAGCAGAACCAATTATACCTATAAGCTTTTCATAAAGACTATTAGTAAAGGAGCTCTTGATATCTTGGACAGTCTTTTCTGTTGCTCAGCTCTCCTTATCATTATAATGTCATTGCTCATGTTTAATCTCCATTATTGCAGCTTAAGTTCATTACTATTTATTTTATCTCTTATGAGCCTAGAAAACAGACTTTC